CCCACCCATAAAACAGAAGGACACCAGAAAGTTGCTCCGACAACCTGTTTCAATGGGTTTTAATATAGAGTGCCAGTGTTGCATTGTAAATCATGAATTTTATACTGTTTTGTGGAATGGGATTAGTAAATTACAGACTTGTCTTCTTTTTTGTGTGTTTAATCTTCAGTAAGATATGATATATTTGTAAAGACTCACACTTCCACATAAAAACTGGTAGTTTGCAAGACCTATCAGTAATTTTCAAAATCTATCTTAAAAGAACTGAGGTTAAGGTTTTAATGACTATAATTAATAAAGCAATCGATCGTAAATGATCTCTTGTGTGTGGGACTTCAGAATGTTGCATTAGTGAGTGTTAAAAACTTATTTTTGTCAATGCTACTAAAAATAATTCTTTGTAATAAAATTGTAGCGGGATGTACTAATATGTTCAATAAACAAATGTTCATTTGATATAAGTAAGTTATTTCTAGCCGTTCTAAATGAAATAGCCATTGACAGTTGGCACCAAGAGCTTGTCATTTGTCATACAGTGTGCTTAAAGGGGCTTGTTAAATACGGAAAAGAAAATATTATTCACATTCTCCTCCAAATTTCAGATAGTTAACTAACCCATAAAAGTGACCACGGTCATACCTGTGCAGCTTCCTGAAGACACTGTGCAGTAACTCAGAGAGAACAAAATGTGAATCACAAATAAAGGGAGCGAAGCTGGCTGTGTGAGTACAGTTAAAAAGGAAGGCATTCTGTATTCGTATATCAAATTATAAATAGCATTTTTTTCAGACTAAAAATAGTCTTTTGCCATTTGTCCATTGCTGAAATAAGTGTTTGGGAGAGGTTGTAGGTGTGGGTTGTTTGGGGTTTTTTTGGTTGGGGGGGGTTGGTTGGTTGGTTTTTTTTTTTACTTGCAGCCTTTTTTTTTTTTTTTTAACTCTCTTCTCCAATGCCTGTGGATTGAACTTATTCTTTGTAATAAAATTGTAGTGGGATGTACTAATATGTTCAATAAACGAATGTTCATTTGATATAAGTAAGTTATTTCTAGCTGTTCTAAATGAAATAGCTGTTGACAGTTGGCACCGAGAGCTTGTCTTTTATCATACAATGTGCTTAAAGGGGCCTGTTAAATACGGAAAAGAAAATATTGAATTCATTACCTTCATTACAATTCCTTTATGCTCAGGCTTAAATCAATTAGGTGGCTCTCCTACTTGTTTGCTGTCGTCCCAGAAGAGAGGGAAGACTTGCTTTCTTGGGCTGTATTTTTCTTGTGGAAAGTAAAGCAATTATGTTTCTTAGTCTTTGTCTGTTCCAGACGCTATGTTTTCCTTGAAAATATTTTTCAAGGAAAAATAAAGGACTAAAGAAAAAAAAAATTGTTTTGCTTTTTTTTTTCTCCTTTGAGTTCTAGTAGGAAATGTCATGCCAGTGATTTCTGTGGGACTATTTGAGTTCTAACATATAATTAGACACTCTACACTTTGCCTCTGTGAGTTTTTAATGTTTAGGTCAGTCAAGATAATCTTTATTAATAATAATCTCACATATATTTTACAGGTGTGTAATAATAATAATAAAGGCTTTTTATTGTGGAGCTCCTTCATGGATTTTGAAGCCACCATTAACAACCTGTTCAACATCTGGATTTCAGTGGGGGCAAAAAGGCTCAAATCCTCTGTAGAGCCAAGCTGAGTTACATTTAAGGCTTCTGTAGCTTGTTCATTTGAGCAAAATGATGTGTGCCTCTGAAATGCTCTTTGGTTTCTCTCTTTTTCAGTCGAAATTATTGACGTGAATGGATAGCACGTGTTGCATGGCCATACAGTCGATTATTTGATCAAACTAAGATTTCCTGTTGTAGAACAGCAGTTAAGACATTTGAAATCAGGCGAGATTAGTGTGTTCTAGAATAAGCAGAAGGTGAAAAAGACTATGGGACCCCAGTCAAATAATAATTTATTATAAATGCTGCAATGCATTGATCAGTTCCAATTTTCATTCTACATATGCACAGAAACAGATGGGAAATACGTCCTGTGGGGCCGGGTATTTGAGCGGTTCCCTTCGTGGATTGCTGGCAGTTTATATGACAACCCAGGCTGTTTTGTTCAGGATTTCTACTGGCCATCGGGAGGTCTGAGGGGGCCAGCGTGGTAGGAGACAGTCCTCTGTGTGGGGCCAGTGGGGAGTGTGCGTGCATCATACCTTTCCATGGTCTCCTCTCTTCACAGGCTGCGGATTAAGGCAGAAATTATATGGTCTTATGGCATTGCCTAGTCCTTTCTCTTCATCTCTTTCTCCCTTTAACAGAGTCCTGTAGCCTTTGTTGGGTGGTAACAGCAAGAAATAATTCTTAAAATATTTACACAGTTCTTCAGTTGTGTTATAACTCATTGTAACTCATGAGAGTCCCGGTAAATTCCGCATGTAGGTGCCCTGCGTGGAAGGGCGGGTGTACCGTGCAGTCTGGAGTGCAAAGGGGCTTGTTCACACTCTAAATGAGCTGAGCTAGTTTAGGTACTAGAATTAATCAGTGTGTGGTGGTATGTTGTTCCCTAGGGAATAACTTACCCTATTTCTTGGCAGGATGAAATAACCTGTGTAAAACTTCCTGATGTTGCAACTAGAAAAAAGGAAAAACTAGCGTGGGTGGATGTAATGTAAGCACATGACTAGGCTATGCACAGAGTCCTTAAAGAGTCTGAAAGCTGCAGAAACACACTTTAAAACCATGTGGTTTGTGAATGGTCAGCAGCTCTGATAATTAGGATTAATCAGTTATTGTCTTAGGTAAAAAATAATGTTGCTCTTAAGAAATATTCATTCTCCAAAATCATAATTAACCCTCTCTGCTTGCTTCCTGCTATCTGTAGCCATTCTTGCTAGAAGGATATTACAGTGGCAAAACCAGTAAAAATAGTAGTTTTGAAATAGTAGTTTGAAATGTTTCTTTCCAAGTTTTGTTTTCAGTAACTGCCATGCCATGTCAGAGAAGCCGGTTTATCTGCAGCGCAGAATTCTAGGAATTTTAAGGAGCTGGCAATTATCTGAAGTAATTCTCAAGTAATAATTTAAGCCTGAGTAATTTTTAAGGCATGATGGTACATTCTTCTTTGGGCATCTTACAAGCATTTTTTTCTTCTAAATAAGCTATGCATCACCCGTGTTTATTTTTGAAGAGGGAATAACTACCTTACTGTGCATGAGAATAAGCATTTACTGTGAATTATGCTGCTTCTTTGGCATTAATAGCATGATTAACTTTGACTTAGTTTTGTGATTTATGGATGAGTTTAGTTTTATGTGGCTGGTGTTTGAAACTCTCTGGTTATAACTGGTATTTTAAGGGTACTTTCAATATGGTAGCAAGTAAAGGCCAGAACAACCTGAGGTCAATATTTCCTATATTGGTCTTAAATTTTGCTGGACAAACTACGAACTCTAGGGCAGAAAAACAGACATCACCAGCTGTGTTGATGGTTTATAGAAGCTTGGTAGTGCAGGACCCTTGCCCTGCTTGAAGCTCCCAAAGTCAGAAAAACCTACTAAAAATAACCGGTATCATTACGTAGCATCAGACTGTGCATATGCCTTCCTGGAGAGAGAGTCTTTTGGGAGGTGCTTGTTGGGGTTCTCCAGGTTCTCTTAATGTTTTGATAATGGCTGTAGCCTTCAGTTTGTTGAAATGTATGTTTCTCTGAAAAGTCCGTCTTTCTTGTTTGCTTGTTTGAGTAAATGGTGTCACTAGATTTTGTATGTGTTTTTTTTCAGCCAGCTCTAGTAATTCGATGATTTTACATTTTCTGAGGGAAAATGGCCATACAGTCGATTATTTGATCAAACTAAGATTTCCTGTTGTAGAACAGCAGTTAAGACATTTGAAATCAGGCGAGATTAGTGTGTTCTAGAATAAGCAGAAGGTGAAAAAGACTATGGGACCCCAGTCAAATAATAATTTATTATAAATGCTGCAATGCATTGATCAGTTCCAATTTTCATTCTACATATGCACAGAAACAGATGGGAAATACATTCTGTGGGGCCGGGTATTTGAGCGGTTCCCTTCGTGGATTGCTGGCAGTTTATATGACAACCCAGGCTGAGGGTTTTTGAGTGTTCATAGTGCACGTATCCTATTTCATGGGTGGGTGGAGCACAAGTTCTTACGAGGATCCGAGAGCCAAGTCTCTCTGCCCTCATCTTTGTGTCAGAGGACATGGCAAGATGTCATCTCTGCCCTTTTCTGTCTGCTATGCTCCCTTTTTTCCTCCTCCAGCCATGCACCGATCACATGAGGGAGCAGGTTGGTAGCATGGGACTTATGCTGGGCCTTGTTCTCCTCAGCTGTTACATAGCTCATTTTCCTGTGCTGTGCGTGCAATATGTTGAATTGAGGGCAAGACACTGCACTGAGGTAGAAACTGCCCGGTTCCCGGTATCATGCTGTGGAAGTGGGAGATGGAAGCAGCTTCTGCCTTGTTGGTCATTCGCCTGGTAAATCTGTGCCTAGTCTCTTCCACCTGAGTCACTGATAACCCCGTGTGTAGGTGCTGCTATATGAGAACCATCCACTGACATTTCCGTGCAAGCTGTGCAAGATGTATATGCCAAGTAGCAGATGCAGAGGCGAAGAGAAAGCGGAGACTGAGTATGCTGAGTTTCATGTTTCTTTAAAAGAAATAACTTTAAATATTTGTGTAAAGCAAGCCAAGCAAGTAAATGTTACATGGCTCTTAAATCTTTCTATTAGTTAATCTATAAAGAGTTGAAAGCAGCTGTTCCAGATGAGTGGTCGCCCACTGATGATGAATGGTTTAACTCACATGGGAAGGCAGTAAAGTCTCACACAGCATAAACATCTGTAAAAGTAACATACAGACTTCTGCTTTTATCTTGCCTCCTCTCTTGGGGAACTTGAGAGAAATAAAATTGGTTTTCAGTATTTTTTTAAAAATATGACTAACAATATTCTTTATTTTTGTTTCTTTGCCTAGGGTATTTATGTAAGGGATGCACCTTTGAAGGACATAAAAGTGTTCAACTTTCGCCGATTTGTAGCTCTTTTTAGTGTGGTAAATGCTACGAAGCGGGACGCTGGCAACTATCGCTGCATGATTCGGACAGAAGGAGGAGTTGGTGTATCAAACTATGCAGAACTGATAGTCAAAGGTATTTCACAATTAAAAAAATCAGTATTTTGCATGCTCAGTGTATGGAGTAAGGATCTGCAATTGCTAATTCAGTAAGAATGTCACCCATAGCCTGTTAAAGTTGATAAAGGGGTTCAATAAATAGACTTGGTTTATGTAAAACTTAAGAGCCTATCCAGTTGTAACAAGAGAAAGCCAGAAGAAGCCAGGGCTAATTCACTAGTTACTTGTTCATTGTTGTTTTAAATAATTCCCCAAAATGCACTGTTTAGAACTATATGTCTTTAAGAGTATATTTACAAGATGTTTTTTAAGGTGTGAATGTAATACTGCCTATTTACCTCCTTTATGGAGATAGCATTCTAAAAATATATTTACTGCAAGAGATGAAAGATTTACATTAAAATGAACACATAAAATACACATATTCCAACATATGGAGGGATTTTTAAAAAACAACAGGAAACACTTAAACATAAACAGAATGCATACAGGTATGTCCATCCTTATTATAGAAAACTGCGCTAAAACAAATTTTTAACATTCATTATATTTAAATTGCATTTTGATTGCTTCTTTTATACTAGTATTTTGGAGGAACAAAATTTTACTTTTGTTCTTTCAGAGATAAAAACAGATTCTGTAGCACCTAAGCTGTGGAGCCACATTATTGTGTTACGTGTCTTCCCTTTCTGGTCCATTCTGTGCCTAACAAACAAGAAGTGAGATGAAGGTCTAAAGGCTCTTTTTCTCTTCTTTCTGAAAACAATTTGATCCAAGTTGGCAAGGAGTGAATGAGTGCCCTAAAACTAAATCCACCACAGGTGTGGAATTTTCCTCTGGGAATTAGGAAGGACACACTTGCATCCGTTATGCATCCTCTGATTTTAGAAACAGTATCCTTCGTTGGATAGGACTTTTTTTCTTTTGGGGATAGCATTCCAGTTATCACGGATGATATCATTATAGCTGTTCTAATAGAGTTAAAGAAACTTACAGGCTAAGGAGTAACAGGAGCAAGAAATGAATTTTTGTGTAATAGCTTCTTGTCACTCTGCTTTCCAAATTCTGCTTTAGGTTTTATCTTTTGGGTTAAGATACAAATTAACTTTTCTAATGGCTTAGTCATCTAATTAAAAAATCAGTACCTATTGCAGTATAAGAGCTTGTACAGTTCTGATTGCAGACAGCAGACTGGATAAGGGGCTTCGTTATTGGTTGATCTGGGATTTGCTTTTTTATTTCTCCTAACTCTTTAATTATTTTGTATATTTATAAACCTAATATGGGATCTGTCAGGACTTTTTAAAGATGTGATCCTCTTCCTAAAGGCAACTTATATGTAGGGCAATAAGCAAGGTGTAGGATAACTGTTAGATCTGAAAATGTAGCATGGATGTTGTTTCTGAAGTCAGTATAGAAAGCACGTGTATGAGAAGCTAGCAGTAAAGGAGGGGTTTGAAGGACAGGGGGCACAGTGGCATACATAAAGAATCAGACGAAGACATTAAAAAGGCAAAGCAAAGTGGATGTGTTTTAGAGAAAATGGAGAGAAGCAGGGCAAGATGAGGAGGAGGAGGTTGCGAATAACCAGTGTATGAAGATAACATGACAAAACAAATTGTAATATGAAAACTTAGATGAGCTATTTGAGTGGACAGATGAAGAAGGAAACAAATAGAGAAAGTGAGATGAGAACATAATTATAAGGCATGGTGGAAAAAACGAGGTAACTTCAGTCCAAACAAAGATAGCATGAAAAGGAAATAAAAGGAGTGGCGAAAAATGGAAATGTATGGAAGTCAGCAGAGAGAGCGAGAAAGGGTGGAGTATGAACCCCAGCAGAAATGATGAAGCATCTTTCAGACCTAACATCAGTGGAAACGAGGAAGAACGGAGACTGCCTGAAGGAGGCAGATGGAAGATTGACTGCATCAGTGACAGGAGGTACAGAAAGCCAAGGAAGTTAGATTTTTTTCCATTTCTTTGATTTAAGGTGTTTTAATTTATTAGTGCTCCTTGTGCAGTGCAGTAGATGAAATTATGAAGCGTATCATTAAAGCATTTGTGCTTACCCAGATTCTTTCAGAAAATTTGCACTGGGCACTGTGAACAAGTGTATAGCCTTCAGGTGTAATCCCATTAACTACCATTGTGGAGTGGCAATGTAATTATGGTAATCCCCATTGCCTGTATTGGAGCTTTTATGAGACCACCTGCAGGCCATTCCTTCTGACCTAAAAAGACCCATTTTAAACACTGTGCTGTAAAACCTTAGGTGACTGTACTGAAATAGCAGCATTAGGGGCTAATTAGTAAATATGCTTTCTTATTGATGGCATATAATTAAGAAATTTTATTTCCTAATTTTTCCAGCAGCTTTTCTGCAATGTTAGTTAGCAGAATTCAAAGATAATGGATTTATTTCAGTGCAGCTGTATCTTTTTTTAATCCATTACCATTGATAAATCATGAAAAAATGTACATTTACCCATGTTGCATGCAATGCTTAGTATACATGGGAATTACTGATGGGTTAATAATAGTATGTGTAGAAACAGTGGTGTAATTACTCCCTGCTCTTTGTTGGAAACAATGAATCTAATTCTCTTCTCATTTACGCTGGTGTAACTAAGCTGACTTAAGAGGAATTTCCCTGGAATTACATTGCTAGGATGACAGAAGAGTCAAACCTAGCATTTGTAAGTTAAAGAGAATTAGTTCTTCACAGTTATAAATGCTCTGTTTCATTCTGGTTACTGAACTTGTAAACCAAGTTGCAAATAAGTAAATCCTGCACTGGAGTTGGGGTTTTTTCAAAATATCCTTCCTTTTAAATAGGGACATGCACAGTAGTGTGGGTTTACAACTCTGTATGACGTTCATTCTACTTCATTGTAGGTGTAGTTTCACTAAACAGGAACTCACTCTAAGTAGATTCCAGTTACTTTCTTATGTAAACCTCTTTAAAGTTTGTAGTGCTGCTGTGGCGTGATGTTGTGTGGCACTGGAGAGCAGGTACCAGAACTTTCAAAATCAGTGGGAAGGCCATTAGTGTCAGGTGCTGCAAACCAAACCTGAAATCACAAAGGAATAGGAATCAAATCTTGAACATGAGAGAGATATAAGAAACTGCCAAATGTTCCTTTTTTTTCCCCCCCCCTTTTTTTTTACCTGAGCAGATATGGTTATAGCAAGGTTTAATGGGGGTGGGTGGGGAGGGGAGAAAGCAATTAAAGAGCTGTCAGTTAATCCCATGTTATCTTATTAAAGAACTGTAAACATGAATATTGTCTAGTTAATGAGCAAAAAGCCTGTCAGTGAACAATTAGTCTGGCCTCAAACAAGAAGGAAAAAAAGGGTTTTTTTTTTAAAACTTGTTTGTGTTATCGTATATGCCTTTTAGAGGATAGTGAAATAAAGTATTGATTGCTCTATTTAAATAAATCCTGAAGGGGAGGTTTTCAATTTACCCGAGTGTTTGTTCTGATAGGAAAGGCTGAAAAGACAAGTGCCTTGTCATTGTGTGTGCTCAAACTACACAGTATCCTCATCTAAGTTTTGTCAGAGAATTGGATTGAAACGTTACTTTATCTAATGGGAGACATGAAATTGGCCTTGTCAGATCACCCACTTACTGTAAAAAACAGCAGTTCGTATCTAATAGGTGACATAAAAGTAATCAAACATTGAGCAAAAGGAAAATAGTAGGGTGGAATTGATTAAATGTATTTGGTGAAGTAAATTAGACTTCTCCATACAGTCCCTAGGCTGAATTTTTCTAATAGTGGGCACATCCAACACAGATTAGATTTAGGAGAACAGAATGAGCCTGTCTGAGCAGACATCAGATTCTTACGGAGTTCAGACTGCTTATTGAGTTCAAACAAGGTAAACCTTGGTGTCAAATTGGTTAAAAGGAGTTTTGTTAGCTTTTTAAGTGAGGGCATAGGAAGGTAACCATCTGTAATGCTGACAGCAGCTTGAATGTCTGCATCTTTCCAAATGGAAGATTTAACACTGGGAACAGAACCAAACCTCTTCTGGACCTCTAGAGTGAAGAATTTATTCCGGAGGGCAAAATCATTTTGAGATCAAGACACAGTAAGAAAATATTAAAGATTGCTTATCTGTTGTATCAGTTGTTCTTACTTTAAGTATACACAGGTACTTAACGTCTATTTTCTCTCTCCGCCAACTAGCCTTTCAAGCTGGATCTATCAATCTGTCTGTACCCTTTTTTTACGGACAGCAGTGGTATTAGGACTTATTTTTATGGTTGCCTGACAATTGCTATCATGAAGTCCTGTTTTCAGATGCTCATATTTTCACAAACTGATTTCAGGCTGATATCTTCCAGTGTGGGTGTGTGCCTCATCCTGAAGGTTTTGAGAAAACCTCCATCCAAAACAGTTGAGATAGTTCAGCCATCTTAGCAAACTTGCCATAGGAAAGTGCTGAAGACTCTGGGCTTTGAAGCAGGAAATTTTTTTCAGGAGGGTAATAGTTATGTCAATAATACTGTTTTTCTGTTCCTGTGAAAATCTGTTTTCAAGTATCGTCAGTTTACAAGCTACTAAATAAAACCCACCAAGACCCCTGTTCTGTTATATACAATGGAGGCTTCTCCGAGTTAAACCCTCAAATTCCCCCCAAATTCTAGATACAGTGGATGGAATTTAAATGTAAGCACTGATCTGAGCTCTTCTGGGATGGGCTGGATCCAGGCACAGGAACCAAAAGCTGTGAGCTTACCATTCCTGCGCTTTTAGTATTCAGCCCACCACCTCGCTGAGCCCTTCTACTGTGCGGGTAAAATGGTGAGATGCATGATGTGGATAGCGAGGGGTGCAAGAGCAAGTAGCTGCATGCTCGGATGAGGTTGTTAGTGTTGGGACTGAAAGGTATGGCAAACTGGGAGGTGTTTTGAAATGAGAGGGGAGGCAGGTGAAAATTGGGACTACATAAGCACTAAAAACTACGGAGAAAGATGACAAAGGGTGGAAGATAAACATATAT